GAAGGGAACAGAGCTGGAGAAGGGGCTCAGGAGCACCCGAGGCAGCTCAGAGGGGGCTCAACCTGGAGAAAATGAGGCTCAGAGGGGACATTCTCCTTTTTTACAGCGTGGAGCCACTTGGGGGTCGGGCTCTGGAGAGTGTCCAGAGAAGGGCACAGAGCTGGGGAAGGGGCTCTGGAGCGCCTGAGGGATGCGGGGAGAGCTCATCCTGGAGAAAAGGAGGATCAGGGGGCACCTTCTCACTTTTTACAGCGTGGAGTCACTTGGGGGTCAGAGTGTGTCCAGGGATGGGAACAGAACTGGGGAAGGGGCTCAGGAGCACCTGAGGGATGTGGAGAGGCTCAGCCTGAAGAAAACGAGGCTCAGGGGGTACCTTCTCACTTTTTACAAGGTGGAGCCACTTGGGGGTCAGGCTCTGGAGAGTGTCCAGGGAGGGGAACAGAGCTGGGGAAGGGTCTCTGGAGCACCTAAGAGAGCTCAGGGGGGGCTCAGCCTGGAGAAAAGGAGGCTCAGAGGGGACCTTCCCCCTTTTTACAGGGTGGAGTCACTTGGGGGTTAGGCTCTGCTCCCAGGGAAAAAGGCTCAGGAGCAGAACAATCAGCGCCAGGGCAGGGTTAAGTTGGATATTGGGAACATTCCTCCATGGAGATGCTGCCCAGGGCAGTGCCCATGGCTGAAGGGGTTTAGGAGACCTGNCTTGGCCATGTGACTGCCATGGGTGCCACCCTGGCCATGTGAGTACCCTGAGTGCCCATGTGAGTGCCCTGGTGCCACCCTGGCCACGCTGCCCGGCTCTCAACAGCCCAGCGGGCACAAAGGAGGGGCGATGGGGAGTTTGGGGTGAGGTGGGCTCCATGCTCACCCTCTGCCCTCTCCCCTGGCACGGCTCAGCCCTGAGGAGCTGCAGCCCGGGCTGGGACAGCTTCCAGGGCTCCTGCTACCGACACTTCTCCACCCGGAGGAGCTGGGAGGACGCCGAGAGCCAGTGCAGGCACCACGGGGGGCACCTGGCCACCATCCTGACCCCCGAGGAGCAGGACTTCATCAACGGTACGTGACTCTGCTGCTGCTGTGTGACACTGCTGGTGTGTGACACTGCTGGTGTGTGACACTGCTGGTGTGTGACACTGCTGGTGTGTGGCACTGTTGGTGTGTGACACTGCTGTCCCCTCCCTGCTGCTGTTGCTGTGTGACACTGCTGTCCCCTCCCTGCTGCTGTTGCTGTGTGACACTGCTGGTGTGTGACACTGCTGTCCCCTCCCTGCTGCTGCTGTGTGACACTGCTGGTGTGTGACACTGCTGGTGTGTGGCACTGCTGGTGTGTGGCACTGCTGTCCCCTCCCTGCTGCTGGTGTGTGACACTGCTGTCCCCTCCCTGCTGCTGCTGTGTGACACTGCTGGTGTGTGACACTGCTGGTGTGTGACACTGCTGGTGTGTGGCACTGCTGTCCCCTCCCTGCTGCTGTTGGTGTGTGACATTGCTGTCCCCTCCCTGCTGCCGAGCCCTGCAGGGCTGGGAGTTG